GAGAACTCATTTCTGAACACTCCAGACATGAAGGGTACTTTCAATGTGACTGATGGGAACACAGGTCAAGCAAAAGCTTAGAAGTTCAATGTCAGCTGTTCACAGAGTGGCTGTCCCCCAAATACATTTGGAGAGCAAATTGAGCATTATTTAAAAAGGAAAAAATAAAAAAAGAATTTGGCCCAAGAACAGTGAAGGAAATGTGCAAAGGATGGATAATATTAAAGAGGAACGGTGAAAGGTTGGAAAAATCCATGGAGAATGATTCTACAAATGGCTGTTGGTCATTATAGCTGTATTTTACCTTCAAGATGAGAGGCAGCATAGGGAACAAGAATGGAAGAGATCTATGGCACTCATGCCCCGCTTGGGGGTTTCCAAAGGAATTCACTCCCCAAAGAGGTAGTGATGACTACCAAGTCGGATGGCTTTGAAACAGGATTAGACTATTAGTGACTACTAGTTTCAATGACTATCTTCTATCTCTGCTGCTATAAGAAAATAAGAAGAGCCTGTTTTTGTTGTTGTTGTTTTGATGTTAACTCTTTATTAGCAGAAACAAGGTCAGCTCAGGAGAGCCAGGCCTAATGAGCACAACAAGTCTTCTTGGCAGGTCTTGCCCCTATGAGGCCATTGTGGAGGCTGAAGATCCCCACCTTCCCACAGCTGCCTAAATCTCCTCCTCCTGTGGGTCCTTCCCATGCAATCTGGAACTCTGCTGACAGAGCTGTCTCTGCTCCACCCTCTTCAGACCTCTTCTCGTCCTGGAAGATCAGTGGGGAGGGGAAACTTGTTGCAGTAGGAGGGGAAGACACCCTGGCTTCTTCACCAGCCTGACTCGTCTCTGCCTCTTGGCCTCTCTTCTCTCCTGCTTATGCCACTGATTCTAATTCTGGACTTCTCTCTGCCACAGATTGCTCTCTGCTCACCAAACCTCTGCTCACCAAACCCTGTTATCTCTTCAGCTTCCAACGCCTCCTCCTCCCTGTCTTCTCCCTCTTCTCGATCAGGACAGTGGCTGTGGGTCGTATGGAAAATTCTCCTCCTGTGAATCTTTCCCTGGATTGTGGAGTCCTGAATTATTTTTTAAAAATGTTTAAAACACACACACAAAAACATGAAATATATTTTAAAAATGAAAGTAAACTAAAATTATACAAAATAGACCCCTATGGCAGAAAGACATCCAACCACCTGGAAAAGTCTGATTAGAACAAAAAAAATATTCCATTGTTTCCAGAAAGTACATGTAGTAGGTGCCTGTCTCAATAGGAATGCTGTTACGCAGATCAGGGGCAACCACACTGAAGGCCCTACTCTGAACTATTATGGAGTGGGCTTCTGAGATTATTGCCAGAGCAGCTTTCCTTCAGACCACAGTGACCCACTGGGTTTATAAGGGATAAGGTGGGATTTTGAATAATTTGGATTGGCTCCACTGGTGTGCCCACTCAGCCCCAAACTCACCACTACCCCATGCTGGCTGCTACTGAAGAAATGGCACTCAGTGCCTGAACATTGGAATCAAGGGAATTATATTCCGCTTTGTAATCCATGATTCAGAAGGAGTGGATAGTGAATCCACAGAACAATAATGGAACGTAGAAAATCTGTTCTCCATAAAGTTTATGGCATAAACCCCTTGCAAGGAAAGGCAGCTTAAAAACGATCAGCTGAGGAGCATGTGACGTAGGGTTACTATCCTAAGTATGATTTATAAATCATAAATCACAACTTCTTGATTATGAAAATAACATTTTCATTATGCATGCTGGGTTATTTTGGTAACTGGCAAATCTAAATCATGCATGTTCTTCCATTAATTTATTCGCCTCTCTCTCCCTCTCCCTCTCTCTCCTTCCCTCCCCCCCTCTCTCCATGTAGCTTTATGAAATTTGTAAGATCTGAGAACCATCATGTCAGACATCAACAATGCTTTTCTCACAAGATGCTCAGATTAGATTCTGAAACCAAACACATGCCTTGACCACTCAGGAATCTCTGAAGGATCGTATTGGCATATTCTACTAGTGGCGCATGAAACCCCACCAGGTTGCTTAGAAAGCCACTTGGATGTTTGGGTGTCAAATGTAACCCCCCCCCCCAAAAAAAACCCTCAAGGGTTTTTCAGAGCATTTGACAAGAAAGAAAGGGCCCCCCAACCTGATATTAAAGTCCAAACAGGAAGGGACGGGTGAATATGTCAATTTTGATTTCTTACATTTTCTCAATTTTTAAACCTCATTTTTTTAAACTGAAAAAATGATTAAATAAACTTCAAAAAGCAAAATAAATAAATAAATTAACCTTCAGTTCACCACATTTCCACATCAGCATAAGAACAATTGCTTTTTAAAGAAAAGCCCCATTGAAAATTCACCATCGTTTGGTGCAAATTTCTCTTAACATACATGTTTTGCCTAATACTGTATAGACTTTTTTTTGCAAATCGATGTTCCCTAATATGATGCATATACTGTATATAATCCTAATGCAATGCATAATGTGATATAATATTCCCTAATATCATGTTCTTCCTCCACAGAATACCAGTTGATTGGAATCGTAGGTCAGAAGAGTGTTGCTGCCCTCAGGTGCTCCTCCCATTGGGGCATCTGGTCAGTTACTGTGAGAACAGGATGGAGCCTTGGCCTGATCCAGCAGGCTCTTCTTTTGCTTTTATTTCTGCAAGTTATTTTCGCTAATATATGCATTTTTATGCACACTTTATCCTCGTATATGCATTTTTTGTACACACTGCATGGCAGGAGAACCACACTGCAAAGGTTCAAAGGCTGGCTGCGGTTCAATTTGTTTCAAAAAGTGTGAATTAGGTAGATTGGTCTATAAATGTGAGCTGAACTGTTGTTGGACTACAACTCTCATCATCCCAGAGAGAGAAAGAGAGAGAAGAAAAATCACCTGAATGACTCCCTGCTTTTTATTGCCCATACATGGGATATTGGGATGGGTGAAAGCAGCTTTTGTTTTCAACCAGTACTGGAAAGCATCCACTAGGGGCAGTCAAAACCTTACGTTTCTTCCCCACCCCTTGTTTTCTCAATTTTCTCAATCTTAAATTCAGGTCTCTACGATTCTGCATCACTTTGTGATTTTTTTTAAAGCACTTAATGAGAATTCATCAGCATTTTAGTGCAAATTTCTCCTGATAGGGAAAATTGCATGCAAAAATATGCCTAATGTGCACATGGTCACAAGCCATTTTCCCCTCTAGAATTATGCGTCTTTGTGTGGTTATTTTCACACATATGTGAATCTGACACGTTCCCCTAGTTCAGGCTTCCTCAACCTCGGCCCTCCAGATGTTTTTGGCCTACAACTCCCATGATCCCTAGCTAGCAGGACCAGTGCTCAGGGATACTGGGAACTGTAGTCTCAAAACATCTGGAGGGCCAAGGTTGAGGAAGCCTGCCCTAGTATATGCATTCTTGTGTCCATTACTTGGCTGGAGAACTGCTTTGCAACAATTTGGAAGACTGCGGATTTCAAAAGATGCCTGTTTTCGCTTCGTTTCAGTCTGCATATTGTTTTGCAAAGAGCAAATTAGATAGGTTCAACTTTAAATGTGAACTGCACCGACTTGATGCCCTGTCGCTAGTGTCTGCTCTGCAACTGAGCAATAATCCCCCCTTATAGAGCAAGGGTGCAATTCAAAGTTCTCGAAATTTCATTGTTTTTCCCCTCCATCTCTCTTCCTCCTCTGTTCTCTTGGAACCACTTTAGGCCCTTGTTCCATGGAAATCGTTGTTCTTTCTATTTGTATAAAGGGATTAGTTTGTGCAGACAGGTGGGAAGACATTTCAAAATCCAATTTCCGAGCTTAAAAATCAGACACACGTTCCAGAGGCACAAGCCTCATTCGGCAGAATGAAATTCATTACCATTTATTTTGGTAAGTAAATTTCGCAAACCAAGTCATTGTAAACTGATTACAAAAATATATATATTACAAAACAGGAGAGTGAAAATGGCTGTTTTTAAGCACAGGGAAAGAGATTAAAAAGTGACTGATGAAGTGTTTGTAAAACTACTCATTATAGAGTTGCTTTAAAATGGATATACTGCTGACACAACCACATTGCATACTTACTCATAGATTTATCCATCAATTATTATTTTTTGCTCTTGTCATTTGGCCCGTTAACCTTGAAACATTGACTTTCTACTCTTCCTGTGGTCAAGAAAGTCACCAATGTACCCCCTGCAAACTTAAAAACTGAGTGTTCATTTACTGTTGCGTGGGGTTGTCACTTTGCTTCTGTTCTTGTATCTTTAATACCAACCTCTCATCAAGGCCCAGTTCACATAAACAGTAAAGATGGACTGTACTGCTTCACCTTGCAGGAAACAGTTACATAATTGGAACCATTCTCAGTGGCCAGCATCATCGGGCAGCTGACAAGGGCCACATCCATGCAGGAGCCCCCCAGCTCCTGATGTTTCTTCATCTTTCCTGGGGATGGAGAACCTCAGACTCTGCAACCAAAGGCAGCGCTTCAGACCCCTTGGACCTCTACCCAGGTGCTGTCTTCTCCCCATACCAGGCCCCTCACTGGCACTCCTCTATCCCCTCTGTGAGTGCTTCTGCCTGACTGGAATATGTCATTGACCTGAGATGGAGATGGAGATGGAGAGAGGCACGTGTACATATAAATCTCTGGATTTTGCATCACTCTTTGCTCTCCAGGAAAGAGGGGGAGAGCCAGTGTCCCTGCTTTCCCCCCCTTCCAAAGTGGCTGACGTCAGGTGGAAAAGTTAGATCTCCCCTTCTCCAACCCAAGTTTCCCATCAGTCAACTCTTCTCCCATTTCTTCCTCCGAGTCTGCCAATCCAAAGCCAATCCGGACAGTCCTATGAGGCTCATGACAGTTAACCTAGGCTGAAAGAAATCGCAGCACTGGATTTTTACAACTTAAAATAAGATTTTGGGTGAGCCAGAAAGTTAAATTATGTATTTTATGCTGCCCAAATGCATCTGGTTGGAAGGAAATGCCAAAACCTTTAGCTAACACACACACACACACACACACACACACACACAAATATTCCACTCATGAAATGGCATCTTTAGTTCCCAAGTCTGCATTTATTTGCAATCTTTCACTGGCCTATTTTTCTTCACTTTAAACCACTCCACGGACTAAAAATCACAGCATCGGTGGAAGCGATTTCCCCAAAGGCATGTATGTTTCATTTCCATAACAGCTATGCGGTAACTTCAGAGATCTCAATCGGTGGCTCCGGATTTCTATTTACAGCATCAAGCTTAGACATCAAGGTGTGAATATTCTTAAAAGGAAAATAGAAAGTGCTACATTGTAGCTGTGCAATGCTCAGTGCCAACTCCTATCCCCGGAAATACTCAGCTGCAAACCAAAGGCTTTGAACAGCAAGACATAATTGTCTATGGAGTCCCATGAGCAAATAATTGGTCATCAAAGATGACTGACCATGGGCAAATGATATATAGTGAATAGTGTATATAATAATGCAAAATATGGAGGTGCAATAGGATTATTATTAATTATTATTATTATTATTATTTTGCAAAACGGAAGAGGCAGGAGGTTTTTCTAGGAGGAAAATGTTGACAGGCGATAGCTTATTGACACATTTCTTCCTTGCATTCAGTCTTGAAGATTGTCACTTAGGGCTGAGAAAGACTGCATTCTGAAACCCTGGAGAACTGATGCCAGTCAGTGCAGGCAAATACAGAGTGCGATGGAACAGTAGCTATACTTCCAGGTCCTGATTATGCCTGCACTTGAAAGATTCATAACTGGGATGTTTTAGGGATGTTCAATCCATATTTGCCTGGGTGGTTGGGGTTAGAGAGGGAGATATCCATTTTGGTGTGCTGTTAAAACATTTGATTTACCTGTTTTAATCTAGACCTACTCTCCCATCCTTTAGAAAATAATTGGATCTCTTGTGACGTTTGATACTTTCATCGCTGGCAATCATTCCCCCATTTGTTTCTATACTGCTGCTTTCATGTGTATACATCTTCATTTATCGCTAACCTCCTGGAATGACCTTGAACAGAAGGCAATAATAAGTTCGAAAGACAAAGTGATGTCACTTAAATTATCTTTAAAATTGTTTGCAAATTGCAAAGTTTGAGCTGCATGCACCTCTTGACAGTTGCTGCCTCTGCCTCTTCTTTTCTGGCTGGCTCTGAAGACGAGCTGAAGGAAATGATAAAATGTGCCATTGCCTTGCAAAAAAAAAAAAATGGGGGAGATTGGACCAAGTCAAGTATATACAATTCTTAACAACTTGGGACCAGTTTACCAACAGGATCTCTTTATCCCATATATGTCCATGTGACTGCTTTGATCTGCAGAACTGGCACTCTTACAGGTGCCACAGGATATATGTTCTGCATCTGTAATAAATCAATATTTTAGTGCAGCAGCACCTACACTTCAGAGCTCCCTGCCTATCAATACCAGGCACGCACCTTCATTGTGATCTTTTCAGCGCCTGCTAAAAACATTTTTTTCTTTAGACAAGACTACCCAGATATTTAGAATGCTGAAGCATCATTTCATCTGTTTTTAGTTTATGTTTTATTTTTTCAGTGTTTTAATTAATTGTTATTCATTCTTTTTATTGATAATTTTGCTGCTTTATTTTTTTGGAAACTGCTTGAAGACTTCCTCTTCTTCCTCCTTCTAACGATAAAATGGTGTATTGATGTTATTAAATAAAGAAAAAGCCCACCAGCCCTATAAACAGAAGTAGAGATCTCTGCTGTATGTTTCAGAAAGTTTGGACTTATTTATAGGTCATAACCATCCCTTTAAGTTGTGCCCACATACAGACTGGTAGCCAATGGAGCTGTTGTAACAAGGGAGCTACAAGACACAGTTGTTCTGCCAGGCCTTTGGTCTGGGCCCAGTCTGACCCCCTTCCTTCTTCCTTCCTCCCTCTTTCTATGGGACCCTGTATGTAAGTGGGCTCTTGACTCCTTCTGTTGGCCCACATGGGACCAGCACAGGTGGCCAGGCCTGGTGAACATTTAATATTCCTTACCCCTATGGTTGTGATTCGTGGGTTCCCACCTAATTTTGATTTTGATTTTAAATGTGATTTTGAACTGTATTTTAATCAATCATTTGACTTTGTGTTTTTGATGTATTATATATTTGGTGTTAGCTGCCCTGAGCCCAGTTTTTGTCGAGGAGGGCAGACTATAAATAAATTATTATTATTATTATTATTATTATTATTATTATTATTAGTCCACATATCCTAGATGTATTGCATATTTTTTTGCCTTTTTAAAAAGCATTTCTTGATGAACTAGTTCCATTCCAAAAGCAAAAGCTTAGGATTCTGCGTTATCCCACAGTGTGTCCACTGGATAGCTCAGCTGGTAGAGCACGAGGCTCTTAATCTCAGGGTCAAGGGTTTGATACACACGTTGGGCAAAATATTCCTGTATTGCAGGAGGTTGGACTAAATGACCCTTGTGGTCCCTTCCAGCTCTATAATTCTATGAAAATTTATCCTAGCAATGGGGTGGGTGCATCCACACCTGCCCAATGACATTGTAGGGGGTCATATGGCAATATTGCAATCACCACTTCCTTCTTCATTCACCTGGGACATGCACAGGGAGCAAAAGACATGGATAATCCAATCAAGGGGGGGAGTTTTCAGGTGCATTTCAAGTAACCACAACAACCTTTGTGGATGGCAGGACCGAGAATCACAACAAAGTAAGGATGAACATGTACGATGCCATATAGACGCTATATAGAGAAGAGCTTCATTTTGTGTGTGTGCCACAAATGGGTTAGTGCATACACAGCCACACACTCACAAGGTAGCTCAGTTAGTTAGATCATGGTGCTGAGAATGCCAAGGTTGCAAGTTCAATCCCTGTACGGACAGCTGCATATTCCTGCTAATCCTTAGGTTCCCTTCCAGCTCTGCATTTCTACGATTCTATGAAATGTGCGGTCCATGCTGCCAGCACATTGTACTCCCTGTATAGGCCAACCACTAAATAGCCACTGTGCTGACCCAGAGGGTCACCACTTTGCAGAATGGGAGTTTAGAGGCCTTTGCCCATCTCCTCATCACAAAAGTTCTTTGCTACCCTTGTTTCTAAGCAATATTTTATGATCTCATTGCTGCCTACCTTACAAAAATCCTGAATTTTTGAAATACACATCTGGGGAAGAGGAAGAAAGAAAAAATTGCTTCTGTATCTGACAGCGAGCCAGAACATCTCTGTTAGTGTGATAAATGTGGGCTGTGTGTCATTTATGTCCTATTACTACAACCTGTTTGAAGTGTTCTTGAAATACCCTCTTTTAATTTGCTTCTGTGGCTTAAATTTTGTTTTGGAGAAAGGAGACAGGCTTTTTATATTTCACCCCCTCCCCTCTTTGGATGCAATTTCCCCATCTTTTGCATTTATTACCGCCAAAGTCCCGACAGTTTGTACCTGACCTTGATTATCGTTTTATATTTATACACTGCTAATGGAATCTTCAGCATGAAAACTGCCACAACAATCATGCATAATGTTGCTTAATTCTACAATGAGATGCTCGCAGCGGAACTACCCATAATCTGTATATGTCTTGAGGTTTTAATCTTACTGGAAATGAAGGTGGGAGAGGATGGAGAATGAAAGAGATGGGGGGAGAGATCATCTAGGCAAATAAATGGAAGAGAGAAGACTAGTCCATTATAATCAGAATTGAAATGAAGAAGAAGAAGAAGAAGAAGAAGAAGAAGAAGAAGAAGAAGAAGAAGAAGAAGAAGAAGCTGGTTAAATCATGCTCTTCAGCAAAAAATAATAACAAATAACTTGTAGAAGATCAGAGAACTGCAAGTTAGAAAGGGATTTGCAAGTCAGATACTACAAGCAGAGCCTGTGTACTCACCATTGATCTGAACCACATCCAATAAGTAAAGCAGACTTTGCTGGTTGCAAAAACATAGCTACAGTATAAACCATTTGTCAGTGCACACTTAAAGAAGACTCAAGAAACCATAACTGCAGTAGAAAAGGTTATATAAGTTGTGTGTCCTTGTTTCTCAGTTGGATCATTTTACATTGCTTTGTATGCTTTTTTTTTTAAAAAAAGTAATGTTTATTAAGAGTTTAAAAGTTACAAAAAGAAAAAAAAGTTAAACAAAGCAAAACAATACAATACATAAAAAACAAAAAACACTGCTTATCTTAACAAAACAAAAACAAGAACAAAAACAGAAACAATTAAAAACACATCCAATATTTCCATATCTTGTCTTTCATTTACTTGTTTCGACGACCTCCTCACACCTCCCTTTTTTGTATTCTAGTTCTTAGCTATTTCAGCAAATCCTTTCCATCTTTCTCAGTTTTTGTCCTATAATTTATCTTAACATAATCTAACCTTATTTTTTCCCCTTTAGCCCATTAACAGTCTATTTTTACTTAATTCTTTATAACATTTCTGCTAAAGCCATATAACTTCATTCCAGCATCCTTCTAACATTCATTAATTTTACAGTGTTTCTGTAAATAGTCTTTAAATGTTTTCCAATCTTCTTCCACCGACTCTTCTCCCTGGTCTCAGATTCTGCCAGTCATTGCTTTGTATGCTTTGTGGTATTTTATGCACTGTGACTTGCCATTATCTTTATTGATTATAGTTTAGCAAATTATTTAGTTTAATTGATGGGTGTAAACTGTTTAATTATTATTTGCTGATCTCTAATGTTTCTGTTTACTATTATATTCTAAGGGATTATTGATTATTGCTTTATTTGATGTAAGTTGTTTATTTTAGAGTTATTGTGACTTTTTTGTATTGGATCAGATGGTTATTATTAATGCTTGATGTTCTATTAATGTGATGGAAGCCGCCCAGAGTGGCTGGGGCAACTCTGCCAGAAAGATGGGGTGTAAATAATAAAATTATATATAAAATAATTTATTATATTATATCTTATAATATAAAGAAATTATATTAAAATTTATTTATAAAGTTATTATGCAGTGGTTAAGATGGTGCCAATCTCAACCAAAATATATTATTATATAATAACTAACCAAATCAAAATATAGTCCAGGCAGGGAATTTCCCTAAGGTAGGAAGCATTGGGTCTCTCCCCACACCGGTGTGCATTTTACACCCTCCCCTTGTGGCCCCGCAGGAAAGGATGCTAGTGAATAATGGTGGATGTGGAGCATCAAATCGCCCCTGAAGCAGTGGAAGCCAGTGCATCCAGGCAAATGAGGTGTTTGGTGCCCAGTTTGCAACCCTTTAATAAACAGGCTATAGACTAGGAAGGAATAGGTGGGAGTAAGAATGTATGGTTGTAGGAGAGGCCTTTTTGCTCACAACAAATTCTTCCTGTCTCGAAAAGGATCTCCCTTTCTCTAACTCGAAATAACCTGTAAGGATATACAGTCCCTTCTTCAACCTTTCAACAACTGTCCTTTGCTCTGGAAAATGTATCTTTGAAAAGCTAAACTGTTTCAAGGTTCATTTTCCAATGTCAACAATAAACCGCTAAAAATTAATTGGCTCTTAGAGAAATGTTAATTCTGTATGCCTAGAGTCACTGCGTTCCCAAAGGCATGTTTATCTAATCATTAAATAAATTCTAAACCAATTCCTCTCTGTTGAGAGTAGCATTCCCGGTCTTACATGTATTTGCTCTGTGTCCCTTCCTCCATGAGGCCTGAAGGGAGGGGGTAGAGCAGAGAACCACATGGTTCTGTCACTACTGTCTAACTATTTCACTATGTCACTATTTTGTGGCAGGTTCTGTCCCGGCACCATTTTGTCACTGGAGGGCACCTGCAATGTTCAGCTGTCTCAAGTGGGGCCTGGGGGTAGAAAATGTAAGAAGCCCTGGCTTATAGCAATGATGCCTATACTTGCATGCCATTACCATTTACTATATGTTACTCTAAATCGTAAGGAAGTCGGTGAATGAGTTGGTTTCATACTCATTTCCATGATTTAGTGATACTTTTCCAAAGTGATCAAGGCCCATTGGTAAATGTCCAAAATTGTTTCTTAATTTAACAGTAAACCTGAAGAATCAAACTGCATCCTCATTTCCATCGTTTACCGCTAAATGTCACCATTTTCCAGGGCACATTTGTAGATTTCTAGAACAAGCCCAACGATACAGTAATTTCTGGCTCTTATTAAGCCCTGATGCTTTGAGAGAAAATTGAACATTGCCCAAGAGGCATCCCCTTTAAATCTGACTATGCATAGTCAACATTAAAACTGTGCCAGACACAAAAAGTTATCATAAAACTAAAATGTGCAGCTTGAAACCCCATTCCCCTTCACAATGAATGCTCTTCGAATTGATTACAGCAAGCTTACTTTAGTGTTTGGAGACTGCAACTCCATCATAACCTTCGGGAATCTGGGTTTTTTCTCCCCCTAAAGTAAAAGTGTGATTCACTTTCCACCTCTCAAATATAGTGCTCTTATCAAATAAAAATTCATATTTAATAGAACATTGTAACACTACTCCTTTTAATATTCCAGAGTTAGTCTCCTTAGGCTCTGCAGTTTAATGAAAAGACACTAGGAGAAAGATTTGTACTAGCATTTGAGGTGCTTGCAATATTGAAATTATTTCCATTTCCCCCCCAAGTGGGAAGTTGTAATCTATGATTAACCTTTATGCTAAGCAAGCTACAGGTATTGGACCAATTCATGTGCTACTGTGCCAGCTAAACGGGTGGGGTGGAGGTCGTTCCCTGTAGCACCTTCCCACACCTCTCCAGTAACATCTGGATGCAGGAAGCAAGCAGACAGGCCAGATACATGGCTCAACACTACCTTGATTTATAGAATGAAAGAGAAAGCCATGCTGGATCTCAGTAATCACAGCATCCTTCTCTAAGTGCTCAAAGTGCTCTTCTAAGTGCACTTCTTACGTTCTTACAGTCCCACAATTAGCCCTGGTGTGAGATAGGTTCCTACATACCTATGGAATTATCCAAGCTAGTCAGAGCATATGGGTTCATATGCTGGTGAATGCAGTGTGTACAGGATCCTTCTCGGCACCATATCTAGAATTACCTCTCCTCTGCTTTTGCTGGACAGGTGGAAGCCGCAGAGCGAGAGCCTCATTCCTTTGAACTTGTGCTCTTCATGTGGAAGAAGAAACTTGTTATGTGGAAACTATTGCCTTTTCCAGTTGCCTTCATTCAGTAATTGCAAGGCAGTCTGCAGAGACAAGCACATCTGCAGGTGGCTATGAACACATTGAACTGGGGACCATCTATTACTGCGCCAGGCAGCATGGCAATGAGGCAAAGGAAGGCTTGGTTCCAAAGTTGGAACTGAAATCTGGGTATGGGGAGATCAGTGTGAGGGTGGGCAATTTTGACAATGCATGTGCAAACATCCCTTGAGTAGATCCACCTTTCATAGCAGAAGACATTTGTGGAGCACTTCTCACAGATATCCGATGTTACTGCTTATTGTTCTCATTTAAAAGTGCTGGCTATCTAGTTTACAATTGGGCTGTTGCTTATGAGTTTCTCACCCGAAGCACAAAACTGGATGTCTACCTACCTACCTTTGCTTCACTCCATGTATTTCAATATGTTTCATTCCATTTGGTTTTTCTTGCAAAGCCAGCCACACCTTATCAAAGCAAAAGTTTGTTCAAGACACTTACATGAAGCAATGAACACATTTTACTTCTACAGGGGCTTTTGGAAAGAGGCAATCATAATATCAACGCCTGAAAATGAAGACTAACAAGTGGGGGTCTTGTCCAGCTTTCCCCACACAAACCATCAACTCCCCACTGGCTTTGATATCAACTGATGGAGAAGAATGCCCTAGGACACCATAATTGCTCTCTCTGCTGTTCTGATCCCCACTACTTTTTAGGAAGCTATTAGGAGAACCAG